CCCCAAAAAAAAAAACGCATTATTTGAGCCGGTCGTTTTTTGGTCTCGGCTTGAATAAGGGGAAAAACGCATTAAAGAGGCCCATGTTATTAAACGGGCCGCCACATTAGGCTACTGCTAGGCGAAGGTAAAGTTGCACACATGTGTTTGCGATGTTGACACAGCACTCTGCATGTGTCCCGATACTGAGTTGTATTTGCCAGGAAGTATTGCAAAGGACAGCATGTACACTGAAAATATAGCGACGCACACGCTTCACAACTGCCTCACCCCAGTCCGTGCAGTGCACGGACAGATAGCAAAAGCAAGCTTGCAGGGCGTCCATTGTTTGTTATCAGTATACTCTGCATAGTCTCCGAGGTTTTCGAGGGCGGCATATTACAGATTGTGCTAACACCTTGCAGGCCATCCCTGAAGAAAGGTGCAGGTCCTTCGGCTGCATGCTTTCTGCTTCTGCCTGCAGGTCCTACCTAGGCCTTCGGGTTGCGAAAATTTCCAATCCAGTCCTGGCGAACCTTTCCCCGCAGCCTGAAACCAGTAGCTGCTGCTCTTGCCCGATCTCTTGCAGCCTCCAACGTGAGCCCATCACGAGACATCGCCAACCTGTACACATTGCTGTACACGTGATCCGATGCAATATGTGGTGGCGGCTTCATCATCGGACCGGACTCCCAGTCAGCCTGGCACAACAATATAGCACGCATGCATGATGCAGGTGCATGCACTGTGTATGTACATGTAATGTTTATAATGCACGTAGAATGTCTCTGCTCGTGCCTCGGGTGGCTTGTTCTTTGTCTTCGCAGCGGCCTTCGTCTTAGCTTTGCCTTTCGGCTTCTCCTTGCTGGCTGCAGCCTCGGCTGCTGTCTCTGAGTCTGGCTCGGCCTCGATCTCCAATACATCGTCCTCCTCGGGTTCTTCCTCCTCGTTCTCCTCGTAGGGGATATTGTAGTGGTAGATGGTCCCCTGGCAATCCTTGAACTTGTTCTTGCCGACCCTGCGCAAACCTTTTGCGGGGCCTGACTTCATCAAGCGACCAACCTTTGGCTGTGGTCTTCGGCTTTGTGGCATCCTTCTTTGGCTTTTCCTTGAGCTCTTCGAGCCATTCTTCACCGCATTCATCATCATCATCCCCACTCAGGGCCTTGGCTTTGCCAGGCTTGCCAGCGGCGACCTCCTCATCGCTTCTCTTCTTGTTTTTCTTTTGTTCCTCCTGAATGTGGCGTGCAAAGAGCATGAACGGATCTGAATCAATATGGGTAGGTTAACATGTGCAGCTACAATCCCCCCCCCCCGTGCCTGAGCTTCCTCTTGCGCCGCCCGGGTGCACATGTCTTCCATTTCTTGGATGACTCCATCCGCGTT